TTTGAAACGGCGAAGGGTTAAAGGGCTCGAAAGACACTCCGGTTGGACAGCCGCGCACTCTTTAAACCATTAGAACTCTATCAATATTTGTGTAACAAAAAAATAATAAAAAGCAATAATTAGTCTGAAAAATACCTTGAGTTTTCATATATATACTTTTATACGTATTCTTTCAGAGATATTATAATGAAAAAATAGTTTTTTTTAAATGGATTTTTTACTATTAATTACTATTATAATAAATTAAAATTAGTCTCCATAGCCATCATAAAAGAGAAACATGTAAACTTTCTCTAAATTTTCAATAAAGAAATATTGTTTTCACAATTTCATTGATCATGTAATTGTGTTTGTAGAATTTCATGAAATTGAAATTAACATACGTTTATTAACTGCTTGTTTGTTTTAACTATTTCTCTGCCGATACAATTTCATTCTTGGAGTGACTGTAGTATCTGTCTTGCCTACAAAAAAATTTCGAATTTAGTAATAACCTCAAAGGTATATAGTAACCTCGAAAAACTTGAATAATACAAATTACTTCAAAAAACATTTTTTCAATCTCCACATCATCCAATTCTGGATTATTCACTCGCCTAATCCAAATCTCATACACCTATAATATTTTGCTTTTTCATTTATAACCTATTGAAGAAACACAATATTAAATTTCACATACCTTGTCATTCCATGTTGGAAAACCATGCAATCTCACTGTTTTCTTATTTCCTACGCAACCAGGAACGTGACAAGTCATTTTTAACACCCTCACTGCACTTTTATAACTTTATATAGAAAATTCTTTAAACCTCACTAACTAATCGAAAATTATATCCACTACGAACGTAATGGGGATTTACGAGGTTTAGCGTTCGACTTACGCATGACATGACGGGAGTGGATACTCGCGACATCTGCGCTAACTAGCGTCGTAGGCTTCAACTTCACGTTGGCGTTTTCGTTGCATTTGTACGGATTTACACCCATGTCGCGCCTAAAGAAGTTTTTACACCCATGTCGCGCTAAAGAAGTTTTACTTCAATAATACAAATGAGATCTTTCAGAGCACCGTGTTTGAGAAAAATATGCCAAAAAGTGCATTTTCATATTAACATTTCAAAAAAGTTGATATTTTGAGTTTCTAGTAACACTTGCGGCCCGTTTACTAACGTTTTTGTATATAAATAAAACTACAAACAAAACTACTTGCTACAATTTAATCATAATTCAATAATATTTACGTAAAACATCCTATTAAACATAATCGAACATCATCTGTCAAAAACGTTTGACATTTCACGTATTAGCCACCGCCCATTTGTTCAACAAAAAATTTCAAATTAAAATTGTAAAGTTTCTACGCGGATTTGACATAATTTCTCACCTTTTGGACTTTTTCTGGATTGGCACGAATTTTTCAAGACTAAGACTGGCCAAATCGGTTTAGCCGTTTTCGAGTTTTACTTGGACATTTGAAAGAGAGCTCCATTTTTATATATAATATATATATATATATATATATATATATATATATATATTAGGGTGGTCCTTAAAATGGTCATTTTCGAATTTCCTTGCTCCCAGGGGCTCAAATGGTTCCAAATTGATAAAAAACAATTCTCTGAAAGTTTTAGCTCTTAATATTAACGTTTAGATAGAGCGCAATTCAATCAAAGTTTGTATGGAAAGAGAATGGAAAAAATTTTGAAAATTTAAAAAAAATGTGTTAGGTATAACTTAGCGACAAATGAATGAGTTTTATTCATTCATTTGTTCACTAAATTACATCTAAAAAACATTTTTTAAATTTTTGAAAATTTTTCCATGCTATCTCCATACAAAACTTTGATTGAATTGCGCTCTATCTAAAGATTCATTTGGAAATATGAACAAACAACACTCTTTTCTACACTATTTTATTAAATAATAATTTCCACAAACGTTCCGAGACTAGGCTTGGGATCGTTCAAGTATTACGTAAGCAGATTTATTACAATTATTTACCCCCCCCCTCCCCTTTGTCAGCAAAACTAAGCAAATTCCTTACCGAAAATAAGCAAAATAGCAAATCAATAAGCCCCCCGCCCTCCTATAGTGCTTACGTAATACTTGAACGGCCCCTTTGTCTCATCATCAGTGTGTTATAATTTAAAATTTAAAATAATGAAACTTAATTTAGCATTATATGTTTTCCGTTACACGTATATATATATATATATATATATATATATATATATATATATGTGTGTGTGTGTGTGTGTGTACTCTGTGAATAATACATACCGTGCTGATTGACAAAGGCTTGCTGTAAAACACTTATTAAATTCAGTGTCCTTAAGTATTTGTTTATATTGAATGTGTCTAGAGGCAGTGTCATATTTCAATACATCGTGAGCAGTGATTTCCAAAACATTTTTTACTGAAATCAGATTTTCTGTCGATCAAATTTATTGATATGAGAAAATGTTTTCCTGTGGGATATTGTTATTTTTTAATATTATTTAATACACAAAACTGATTAATTTCTTACAAATAAATACTCACCACGTATTTTCGTAAAGATTGAAAATGTTCTACAGTTTCAAACGAAAGACTAAATCGTCTCGTGCTTCCCGAACACTGATAATTCCTTCGCCTTCAAGGCAGTGAGAGCTAATGAGAATAGCCAAATACATATCACGATTGATATGAAGCTGTTCGATTTTATGAATGGATCTTTGTTGCGCGTTATGAGTGTGTCTTTTGTTTAGTTTAGATAGTGAACTTACACGTGTCGAACTGATAAAATTATCAGTTCGACACGTGTAAGTTTATTGAAATAATAAATCATATTGCATTAAACATAAAAATCAATTGAATATTTAATATTTATTAAAATAAATAATACGATCCATTCAAATATTCAATATTTAACATTGATCATAATGATTAAATAAAAACATTGAACAAAAAAATACATTGAATATTTAAACTTGTATTGAATATTGTTAACTTGTATTAGCTTTAAATTGCTCGAAATGGAAAATACTCTTCTTTTCTTTTGCTTAGTTGTTTTTTTAATTCTGAAATTGTCTTAAACACGTGTGTATTATTAACTTCCCGTAGGGTAAGTTATTGTAATGGGCCGAAAATCGAAATTGAAAATTTTTACATTTCTCGACGTTTTGAAGGTTTCTGAACATTTTGGCATACCTCAGAAAAAATGGATGTGTGTGTGTGTATGTATGTATGGATACAAATTTCCAATCACGTTTTCCGGCGCACGGATCAATCGATTTGAATGGTTAAAAAAAACATTCGATTCCTATTGATAGGGAGATGTGCTGATTAATTTTTGGCAAAAGCAAGACCATCTGTTACGGAGTTAAAGAGCAGAGTGCAGAAAATAGAAATCGAGAACGGAGCATCCGATTTGAATGATCTAAAAAACATTCAATTAGTAATGATTGTGGGAAATAGTTTTTGGCAAAGGCAGGCCCAGCTATTTCCAAGATACAGAGCTAAATGTGCAAAAAATTGTAGTTTTTGAGAGAACTAAACGTCCGATTTAAATGATACTTTCTGCTCGTTTCAACAAAATAATTGATTTTTGGAGAAAAAAAAATGTTTCAATTTTTTTTTTTAATTTTTTTTATATCTCTTATCTTGGACTAAAGTTCTAATATACTTCAAACAAATAACTTCAACTTTCAATTCAGTTTATATAATTCTTATAAATATTAGACAATGTTACAATATTTATAATAATCTATTTGAAAACATTCAATATTCCTCGAACATTTCGTTACAGTACGGGAAGTTTGCCTTACTACTTTAATTTTGTGTAATTGTAACATGAGTCGAAAAGGAGATATCGTTAAAAAAAACTAATTTTTGACGCAATTTTTCCCATATGGCGGAGGCAAAATCTATAAAATCACCTATTTTCGAAACTTCCAAAAAACTTAACGTAACAGCTTTTTTGCACCAAATGACTGGGCTAAACTGCAGATAATTAACACAGAGGATGTTCATAGATATTGAGTATATCATTCATATCTCAATCGTAATCACTTACATGAATTTTTTTTTCAGCAAAATTGCGTCAAAAATCAGTTTTTTTAACGATATCTCCTTTCCGACTCATGTTACAATTTTATGTATAATTGTAAAAAATTTTTTAGACAATTTTAAAATGTGATATTTTATTTTCTCCAAAATCCGAGCCATTTGGATAAGGTTGACCTTGACCCATATCTAAAACCGATGGACCTTCCTTCGTACCAACCTTTGGAACGTGAAGATATAGAAAAGATTTTATCATCGATTTTTTTGCAATTACTATAACTTGCCCTATAGGAATTTAAAAATAACGAAAGTGAATTTCGGATTTTGTAAAAATGAAAAAGTTTTTCTAAACATTGCTTAATTTCAGAAATTCTAAGGTTGACTTAGGGGGCGTCCATTAATCACGTGAGGTTTTTGGGTTTGACAAAAAATCACGAAATATCACGAGGGGGAGGGAGGGGTATGGTAATATATCACGTGTATTTATTTTTTAACTGATTTTTAAAAAAAATTCAAACATTTTCAAAAACGAATATTTTTTTTTAGTTTTTTCACGTAACTAAAAATACACGTGATGTTTGGTGGGGGAGGGGGGGGGGTAATTTTAAATATCACCAAATATCACCAAGGGGGAGGGGGGGTCCAAAAATCCTTAAAAACTCGCTCACGTGATTAATGGACGCCCCCTTACTTGAGACAAATAATTTTAACTTAGTTACTTAGTTTCACAATGTCGTAATTCTTAGAAATATGAGATAAGATTGAGAGATGGATTTATTCTAGCTTTATAGAGGCGATTAGGTTTTATTTACATATGTTTCTTGTAATAAACATATTTATTATTTTTTATGAAATTTGCCATATTTGTAATAATTATTGACCTATATTTGCATATATGTTACAGTAGGTATACAGTATACCTGTATCTGCTTATTTTACATTAAAAATTACAGTTGTTCCACATATAACTGATGCTATACAGGAATGGGTTGAACGAGTAGCACATCAACCAGTAGATAGAAAGGAAAATGAAAAACCTCAAGTTTGTATTGTTGAGTTAGGTGGTACAATTGGAGACATTGAAGGTATGCCTTTTGTTGAGGCATTTAGACAGTTTCAGTTTCGCGTTGGTCGTGAGAATTTTTGTTGTGCCCATGTATCTCTAGTCCCACAGGTACATCTTTTGAACTTAGATAAGTTATAGTTTATATACTTACACTAATGATAAAAAAATTTTTAGCCACGTTCGACTGGAGAATCCAAAACAAAACCCACCCAGTCTAGTGTGAGAGAATTGAGAGGTTTGGGACTATCACCTGATCTTATAATATGCCGATCTGAGCTGCCTATTGGGAATGAAGTTAAGGACAAAATATCTAATTTTTGTCATGTTAAACCCGAAGAGGTACAACTAAATTGCATATATATATATATATATATATATATATATATAATATATATATTTCAAAGTAACTAGCAGCCCATTCGTCGAAATAAAAAAGGTATAAAGTATAAAAACTTTTATTTATACGTTTCGACACAAGATGCGTGTCATCATTCAGCAACTACAACAATTTGAAAATTTTATTAACTAATATAAACAACAATAAAAATTAATTATAGCATAGAGAAACATTATACACACCACAGGACAAAAACACTCAACAAAAATTTATTTTAAAAAATTAAACTTAATAACATATTAGAGAAAAAACATTTTTTAGAAAAAATTATGAATAACTAAAAGATTTGAAAACTAATTTGACTAAAAGTTATGAAATACATCATTGTGAAGCTAGAAGCACGCCCATACCGAGCATCTAGACTCGACTGAATTATTTCAATAGGCGTATTGATAGGAATGGGAGGGGACGCATCAAGGACAAATTCTACGAGGCACGAAAACGCATCGAACACAGAGGTTGAACTGGGATTGATCAAAAGGAAAAAGCAAGCCAAGTAAAAGTTAGAACAAGAAAACAAAATTGTAAAAAAATTAATATAAAAGAAATAAGCAAATTAATTTTTTGTTTTTTTAATAAAATCAATAACTATCTGGTAACTATCATGTAAAAGGTGGGATGAATTGCGTTTGTTAACACAAGAGGAGGAATTTAATGAAATAAAAAAGGATTCAGCAAATTTTCTAAGGTCACTATTTTTTTCGATATAAAGAATAACAGGATGTGAAGTGTTAAAAGTGTGATTGAGATTGAGCATATGATCTGAAAACATCGTTTTGAATTGGTTTGGATTTTTTGAATTATAAATATGTTGATTAACTCTCTTATAAATATACTGGGAACTTTCTCCAATGTAACACATATTGCAATCATTGTAATCCAACCTGTAAACAGAATCGGTGACCCTATCAGACGGGGTTCCAGACTTAAGAATCGAAAAAAGACAATTAAAAGTATTATCTAAACTAAAAACTAATCGGAAACCTTCTGAAGAAAATAACTTTTTTAAAAAATACGAAAAATTGCTTAAAAAAGGCAAACAGATAGTTCCTTTGTATTGGGCGGAAGAGGAAGCTATTGAATTTGAACAGGAAGGTGAAAATGAATTATTAGAATTCATTTGTAAATAAATTAATCTATTATTAATGATGTTGTTGACCAAGTGCGAAGGGTAACTATTGTCTTTGAGAACGGAACAAATAAGGGTCGAATTTTTTTCCCAAAACATACTGTTACTTAGTAAAATAGCTCTGTCTATAAGAGAGATAATGACAGAAATTTTAATGGAACGCGAATGAAAAGACAAATAATTTAAATATCTTCCTGACCACGTTGGTTTCTGATACCAATCAGTCAGGACAGAATTGTTAACTTTATTTTTTGTAATTCTTAGGTCTAAAAAACTAATAGAGTCATCTGACTCAATCTCACAGGTGAACTGCAAATGTTTGTTAAAAGAATTAAAAGAGTCTAATGTGTCTACAATCTGAGAATCATCAAGGCACAACAGAACGTCATCAACATATCTATAATAAAGGTGAGGTGGAACAGAAAGATTAGATAAAACAAAATTTTCTAAAATTTGTAGTGTTAAATCAGCCACAGGGGGGCTAATACTAGACCCCATGGGTAAAACAAAAATCTGCGAATAAAATTGATCATCAAAACAAAAGTACGTGTTAACAAAAATGAAATTTAAAATCGTCTTAAACCGTCAAAATCGTCAAAACGATGTTTTCAGATCATATGCTCAATCTCAATCACACTTTTAACACTTCACATCCTGTTATTCTTTATATCGAAAAAAATAGTGACCTTAGAAAATTTGCTGAATCCTTTATTTCATTAAATTCCTCCTCTTGTGTTAACAAACGCAATTCATCCCACCTTTTACATGATAGTTACCAGATAGTTATTGATTTTATTAAAAAAACAAAAAATTAATTTGCTTATTTCTTTTATATTAATTTTTTTACAATTTTGTTTTTTTTGTTCTAACTTTTACTTGGTTTGCTTTTTCCTTTTGATCAATCCCAGTTCAACCTCTGTGTTCGATGCGTTTTCGTGCCTCGTAGAATTTGTCCTTGATGCGTCCCCTCCCATTCCTATCAATACGCCTATTGAAATAATTCAGTCGAGTCTCGATGCTCGGTATGGGCGTGCTTCTAGCTTCACAATGATGTATTTCATAACTTTTAGTCAAATTAGTTTTCAAATCTTTTAGTTATTCATAATTTTTTCTAAAAAATGTTTTTTTCTCTAATATGTTATTAAGTTTAATTTTTTAAAATAAATTTTTGTTGAGTGTTTTTGTCCTGTGGTGTGTATAATGTTTCTCTATGCTATAATTAATTTTTATTGTTGTTTATATTAGTTAATAAAATTTTCAAATTGTTGTAGTTGCTGAATGATGACACGCATCTTGTGTCGAAACGTATAAATAAAAGTTTTTATACTTTATACCTTTTTTATTTCGACGAATGGGCTGCTAGTTACTTTGAAATATGTTTCAACGTCGAAAAAACTATCAAGATATATATATATATATATATATATATATATATATATATATATATATATATATATATATATTGAATAGTCTTGAATTTTATGTTCATATATATGTTTAATTTGAGTTTAAAATTCGGACGTAACATCAATAAAAATAGTATGATTTTTTTTTAAAAGTTTATTTATTTAAAATCCATACGTTTCGGCTAGCATCTTAGCCATCATTCAGTGGTAATGAAATGAACTAAAAATTAAAAATAAATAATATGTAAGAAATTTCATAGAAAAACGATTATCCCTACATTGGTTTAGAGAAGTCATCAAATTCATTGTCTCTAACACCTATTTTGAATTTAATGGATCCTTTTATTACCAAATTTTTGGCACTCCAATGGGATCATACGCATCTCCCTCATTAGTAGAAATTTCCTTGCAACTAGTTAAAAACAAAATATTTAAAAATTATAATAAACAATTTTTTATTTCCGCTATGTAGACGATATTATTACTTGTATTCCGGAACAGTAGTACAGTTTACTGTGGAATTAGAGACAATGAATTCGATTAGCTTTCTAATACGTACAAATGACCACAGACTAATTACTAACTGGTACCAGAAACCAACTAGCTCCGGACGATACATAAATTAGCACTCATATCACCCTCTTAAAATGAAAATAGCAACGATAATAAATTTAACGGACCACGCCATACTACTATCTGATAAAAATTTCTGGTACACCAACATTGACCTGTTAATAAGCACACTAAAAAATAACTCTTATCCTACAAACATAATTAACTCAGTCATAAATAACAGACGCAGTTACATTTTCAACAAACAAAACTTCATCGACCATAAAAACCGCTTAGGCTTGGAGTCATATATTAGTGTCATTTGCCTTCCGTACGTAAAAGATTTATATTTTTCGTGGAAAAAAATGTTTCAACAATGTGGCATTTGGTTGGTGTGTAATTGTGATACAACCCTTAGTTCAATTTTTACACAAATTAAATCTAAGTTTAATTCTTACCGCCTCAGGAACTTGGTATATCAGATTAATTGCTCTAATTGCGAACTCTTTTATATCGGAGAAACTAGCCAAAACCTGAGTAAACGCCTTCATTAACATAAAAATAACTCAAAAATCCGAAGCAATTTAAGACGATGTTAACCGAGCATATTAAAAATTTAAACCATAATATAGATTTTTTCAACCCTAAAATTTTACATTTTGAAGAGAACGTAATTAAAAAAAGATTCGCTGAGGGGTTGTTTTTGCAATTGCATAACGACAAGGTCATAAACAAACGCTTCGACAATACGGACCTGAACGAAACAAACACATGGTTTCTTAATAGCGTGTCAAAATTTCTTAAAAAATGACAAGATCCCATCGCTTTTTAAATTTTCCGTAAAATTTTAACACATGCTAAAAACTGCTTTAAAAAAATCTGACATTTCTATCTTAAACTCCGAAGAGTAAATACATAGTTTCGACAACTTGTTAAGTTATCATGGTTATTAGTGTGTTTTACCATTTGTGATGTTAAAAAATATATATTTTATCAATGTGCACATACTCATACCATGGATTAATAATGGTTTCATATGCTATATTAGGATACAAAATTATAAGTGTTTAATTATTATTATTATTATTATTATTATTGTTTTTCTATGAAATTTCTTATATATTATTTATTTAGTTTTAATTTTTCTTAGTTTTAATATATATATATATATATATATATATATATATATATATTAGTGATGTGCGAAGTCGAATCAAGTGATTCGAATCATTCGAATCAACTAGATTCGAATCAGATTTTACTTGATTCGAATCAACTCGTATCAAGCCGCAAAATATTTACTGTGATAAAACATGTGTGAACACAAATTTTCATAAATATAAAAAAAATGTTTTAATTTAATTCAATATTATAATAATATAAATAATAATAATAATAAATATAAAAAATAATAATAAATATAAAAAATAATAATAATAAATATCAAAAATAATAATAATAAATATAAAAAATAAATCTTGAATTAAATCATGCGAATCACCCGGCTTTAATACGCTTAAATGTATCACCCGACTCGAATTTATATGACTTTAACCGCATTCAAGTCGATATGAATTCATCCGAGTTCACGTGACTCAAACCGACTCATCCCGACTTCAAGTCGATATGAATTGATTCGAGTTCCTATGACTCAAACCGACTTATCCCGACTTCAAGTCGATATGAATTGATTCGAGTTCCTATGACTCAAACCGACTTATCCCGACTTCAAGTCGATATGAATTGATTCGAGTTCCTATGACTCAAACCGACTTATCCCGACTTGAGTTCGAAACATGTGTCCGTGTTTTAGCGTATCGACTTATCGAGATGCAGTGTGTATGGGTCTTGAGTG